GCATGGCAAAGTGGTAATTAGTCCAACCCATGCAATTTAGTTTATTTGATCTAATTTAACCATACCAAATCAATTTTCAATAAATTTTACCATAAAATCACATAAATTCTAATGATCATAAAACATCAATCAATTTCAGATTCGGCCACCGATAAGGCCTTCAATTTGCAGTTTAATGCATAAAACATGAACATATAGTTTAACAGTCAAACAGATAGAAATGCATTTAAACTGGGACATTCAATCAGTCAGTTCAGTATTTCAATCAATTCAATTACTAATCATGTTCAGTCTCAGTTTAACAGTAATCAGTAGGGTTATCAGTAGACAGTGGTGAGGGTTATTACAAGAATCCCTTTTCCCGAAACTGATTTAAGGTACCTCAAAATGTGATATGTTACATCTAAATGTATTGCATGAGGATCATGCATGAACTGACTCACTATCCCGACTGCATAAGCAATATCGGGACGAGTATGGGAAAGGTATATAAGTCTTCCCACAAGTCTCTGATACCTATCCTTATCCACAAGATCACCAACACCACTGCAGAGATGATGGTTAGCTTCAATGGCGAATCAGATGGTTTACAACCCAACATACCAGTTTCCCCAAGAAGATCTAGAACATACTTCCTTTGAGAAATAAAGATGTCTTTGTCAAATCTAGCAAGTTCAATTCTAAGAAAGTATCTCAACGAGCCAAGATCTTTGATCTCAAATTCCTTGGCCAATTGCCTCATGAGATGCATCACTTCCTCCTCATCATTTTCTGTCACTACTATGTCATCCACATATACAATAAGCACAATAACCTTATTTGCATTGTGTTTGACAAACATGGTGTGATCTGCATTGCTCTGCCTATACCTGAATCTCAACATAGCCTTTAGAAATCAGTCAAACCAAGCTCGGGTAGATTGTTTCAAACCATATAGAGCCTTCTTCAACGTGAAAACTTTTCCATCTGTAGACTGAGATGAGAATCCCGGTGGTACATACATATACACCTCCTCTTCTAAGTCACCATGGAGAAAGGCATTCTTTACATCCAGTTGTTGTAAAGACCATCCCAAGTTAGTAGTGCATGAAAGATGAGCTCGAATGGAATTCATCTTTGCAACAGGAGTAAAGGTTTCTTGATAATCAATTTCATACGTTTGGGTAAACCCCTTGGCCACTAATCTTGCTTTGTACCGTTCAATTATCCTATCTTCTTTCTGGTTAATGGTAAACACCCACTTACACCCTACTAGTTTTTTTTCCACTAGGAAGAGAAACCAACTCCAAAGTGTTATTCTTGCTCAGAGCTTGCATCTCCTCTACCACAGCTACTTTGCACTTAGGATCATTGATAGCTTCTTTCCAACCCTATGGGATACACACAAAAGACAGAGACAAAACACAAGCACGATATGTAGGAGACAATGAATCATATGACACAAATTTAAAAATGGGGTGTTGAGTACAAGCCCTAACCCCCTTTCTAAAAGCGATAGGAAGACTCAAATCATCAACAATATGACTATAAACTATTGGTGGAGAAGTAGACAGAGGGTCATTACCTGGAGAATAAGCCTGTAACAACCCCGACCTGTGGTTAACTATTAATCCATGATAAAATGAGCCTAATAAGGAATTAAGGTGAATTCCTGAATTAATTGCATGCGTATTGCATTATTTGTGTTTATATTTGTATATCGTAGAAGTATCTGTTTGTGCTTCCGTTTCGCTCTGCGAATTGAGGGCCTTATTGGCCACAAAACATGAAATTGACTTGGTTTATGTGTTATTTGAGAGTTTTGGAAATTTATGGTGGGCTAAATTGAAATTCGATATGGAACGAAATAATTAGAATAATTAATGCTCACTTGATGAGTGGTAATCCTAATTAATTAAATTCCCTAATCAAGCCTATATAAGGCTTATACACCACTTTAGTCATCTCCTCTTCAACATTTGAGCCTACACAAAAATGTGAGAGATAGAGAATTAGAGTAAGAGACTTGTCTTCAAGGAAGGAAAGAATAATTGTAGGGAATTGAAGGGTTTGGACTTAGAGACTCAAGGGTTAAGCCTCTAGTTCTCACTTTGGAAAGTCTAGGTAAGAATTCAACCCTTAGATTATAAAAATTATGATATCAAGGACATGAACTCTAGAAAATTAAGTTGTGTAATGCAAGAATTGAGCTGGAATTGATGAATTTAAGCCATACCATGCATGCATGCACTTTCATCACATTTTTGAGTTTGAATTTCAAGTAATTCTCTCATGCATGTCCTTAATTCACCTTGGGTTTGGAAAGTCATCAAGTTTCATATCATTTTACCTTGATTGATCATGTTTTGAAAGTTTTGAAGTCAAGAAATTACATGCATGTGATGTTTTCAACATTTCAAGCTTGAGTTTGCACAATTGGCATGCTTTTGGGCTTTGATTTTGCGAAATGATTTTGAGTTCCCAATGTTTTCCAAGTTTATACATGTTTCCTTAAGCTTTTGGCCCAAAAGAACATGATTTATTGGTTTGAATTCGAGTTTTGAGCTTGGGAGCAAATCTAGAAACCCCATAATTTTGTTTCTCCGCTTAAGCGACAGAACCTACGCTCGAGCGACCACTCTATGTTTTGCACTTTCGCTCGAGCGACCAAAAGTTGGCTTGAGTGTAAAATGTATGCTCCCAGAAGTTTACAAAATTTTGTAGACCGCTCAAGCGACAAGAATTGCGCTCAAGCGAGGACCTTTTTTACTCAACTCTGCACTCGAGCAACCGTCGGGCGAAAAAATCATGCAACCAGTACTTTTGCAGAGTTTACAGACCGCTTGAGCGACCGAGGTTGCGCTTGAGCGAAGACCTTGTTGTAAAAAATTTGACTAAGTGTTTTAAAGTATATTTTGGCATCCTCATTGCATCTTAGGCATCCTTAAGCCTCAATTAAGCCATAATAATGAGGATAAGACTTAGAAACACACTAATAACGAAACACAGTGAGTTAAGTACTATCCGAGTGTGTATTTCAATATGTTTGTCTGTTATATTTATGTAGGTCACGCGCTGCAACTAGTTTGATTTGTCTGCTCTATCTGTCTGCTTTGGAGCTATCTGTGAGTAATAACTTTGTAAAGCTATGTTCATGTTTAAATATTTTCCTATATGAAATGGTATGATATGACAAGAAATGATTAGTTTTCTGAAATGCTATGTTCTGTATCAATGAATGACTATCCATATATTGAAAAGTATTCATGGAATCCTTAGCACATGGCCCTCGCCCGAGGGTAACAATACCGTGCTCTATGAGCACAAGGCCCTTGCCCGGGGGTAATAATATCGTGGTCTCATGGCTCTCACCCGAGGGTAACAATACTATGGCTTAAGTATGTTATCTGTTCCCGATACCAGAGGTTCCTTTATGGAACTGGTCAAGTATGACTCATAATGCTCTGTATCTGATCTGTTAGTGCTAATGGGTGTACCACGTATGATCCTCTGTGTAATTGAATAAGTACATGCTTCTGAACTCTGAATAAGAATATGAATCTATTTCTGATTTGAACTCTACTTTCCAAATCTGATATGGGACATCATTCATTAAACTTTTTACTCTGTTATTATTCACTGGGCTTCCGCTCACTATTTATATAATGTATGTAGGTGACCAGATGCATGACCAGACTCAGTGATGAAGGTCTGGAAGTCTATTTTTGTCGGCCAACCCTTGCGCCTCCCGAGGAGGTTCCAGAAACAATCAAGTGGTCGAGTTTTGTGGATCAAGCTATAAGTTTAAGACTTTGTTTATTTTGTGAGCAGTTCTTTTACGTGTTAAGTTAATGACAATGTAAATGTATACTTGATGTCATATGTGGGTTGGTGTATAAAGTTTTAAATTTATGTCTCATGTATGTCTGCACAGCTCTATGGACAATGTATTTTATATAATTGTTCCTGCAGTCCCTTATATTATATGATATTTAGGTCAGAGGCCTTTGGTAATCCCAGGATTACTGGCTGGTTACGACACTAAACCTATAGAGGCGGGTTTGGGTTGTGACAAAGCCGGAACATGATATAGAGCTGGCACAAGGGATGATGATTGACCTGGTGGCACAAGAGGAATCTATTTTTTCTGACGCCTTGAGTAAGTCTTAAGATCAGCTCTGTCCAAACGATCACCAATGTCAAGCTCCACATCAGGAGAACTATTGGACTCCCCCTCGCCACAAATAATAGACCGCTAACTAGAAAGGAAAAAAGATAACTCATGCTGATATGATACATCTGCAATGTCATCCGGAACACACTCCCCCTGAGGAGATTGAGGGAAAGAAGTAAAAAAGGACTTAGATTCACGGAAGCTGACATCCATACTAACATACACTTTACGAGTGTGTGGATCATAGCATTTGTGACCCTTCTGAGTATCAGAATAGCCAATAAAGACATAACGCACAGCCTTAGGATCAAGTTTCTCACGAGCATGAGGTTAGAGATGCACAAAACACACACATCCAAAAACCTGAGAAGGAAGAGAAGGGGAGGGGAATAAGTGACAGGTAAAAGTTCAAGAGGAATTTGAAATTTGAGGATACTGGAAGGCGTACGGTTAATAAGGTAAGTAGCGGTAAGAACAACGTCACCACAAAAAGACGGAGAAACATGCATGGTAAACAAGAGAGAGCGAGCAACTTCAAGGAGATAGTCATTCTTGCGTTCAGCAACTCCATTTTGTTGAGGAGTGCCAACACAACTAGTCTAATAAAAGATGTCATGCTCTTCTAAGTATGCCCGAAAAGCTCCATCAACATACTCAGTCCCATTATCACTCCGAAGAATTTTGATTTGAGCATTAAAAGTATTAGTCACCATTTTATGAAAAATTTGAAAACAAGAAAACACTTCACTTTTAGTTTGAAGCAAGTAAATCCAAGTCACACAGGAATAACAATCAATAAAAGTAACAAACCACCGATACCCAGAAGTAGAAACCACAGGGAGGAGCCTCACACATCAGTATAAATAAGCATAAAAAGAAAAGTTCTTCTTTTATTAATGGAAGGATAACAAGTACGTTTATGCTTTGCAAGTTTACAAGCATCACAACCAAAATTATGCCTAGGACAATCACGAACTAAAGAAGGAAAAAGTTTCTCTAAAACACTAAAGGACGAATGACCTAAACGATGATGCCACTGATAGAGGAGATGAAGAGATGAGCCAGTAGTGCACTTGAAAGCCTGAGATGACAAAGGTAAGGCAGAAGGAACAACATTCAGAAAGTATAGTCCATCTTGTGCTCTACCACTGCCAATCATTTTCCCCGTAGCCAATTCCTAAAAGACACAATGAGTAGGAAAAAAGGTCATGGAGCAATTTAGAAAGGTGGTAAGACTACTAACAGAGAGTAAGTTAGTGGAAAAATTAGAAACATGAAGCACAGATGAAAGAGATAATAAAGAGGAACAAAGAACCGAACCCTTGCCAGAGACAAAGGATAGAGTGCCATTTGCCACTCTAACCTTATCTCGCCCAGAACAAGGGGAATATGAATAAAAAAGACGGGAGGCACCTGTCATGTGGTCGGTAGCAGATGATGAGGATGTACTGAGTACACTAGCAGGATTACCTGTATGAGCAAAGTTGGAAGAAGCAGAAGAAGAAGAGGCTGTGGTAGAATCCAGCCGAGCCATCAAACGCCTGAGAGTGTGTAGCTCATCCTGTGAAATAAGACCAGTGTCAGGAGGGGTGCTAGCAATAACCTCGAACCCATGTGCTTGAGGAAGAAACCCACCACTATGACCATGGCCTTGAAAAGGACGACCATTCAACTTCTAACAATGTGCCCAGTCATGTCTGTCATTCCCACAATAATCACACTTCAAGCAATCCCGATCAGCCGATGGAACCTTGCTACCAAACTGAGACGAACTAAGCATAGTATCTCCCGAAGAAGGAGAAACAACAAACGCAGAGCGATCTAGTGGAGAGGAATGCACCATAGCACTACGTTTACTCTCCGCTTACTGAACAAGTGCATAAGCCTCTCGCAATGTGGGAAACGGACAACGGCCTAATACTTGAACGCAAATCTGATCATACTCTAAATTAAGACTAGCAAGGAAATCATAAGCACGTTCCTTTACGACAGCCTGCTGAAACAAAGAGGCATCCTAAGAACAAACAGCCTGAAAGCTCTGGTAATAATCCAATTCTTACCACAAGCCACTCAGCTCAGAATAATACACCGCAAGTGAGCGATCCTTTTAATCTAAGCCCCGAACCTTCTGCCACAACTCATAGGCCTGTGCATCATTACCTTTTTTAGAATACATATGTGCCACAGTTGTCTAAATCTTATGAGTAGTGTCCAACAAAAGTAAAGTCCGACTAAGTGTAGGTTGCATGAAATTGATCAACCAGGTCATAACCAAAGCATTCTCGGAAATCCATTGAGTACGCAAATCACCATCATTAGTGGGTTACTTGAGGGTACCATCAATATATCTAGTCAAACGACAAGCAGCGATAGCAAGACTGCAAGAGCGAGACCAAATCAAGTAGTTGATACCATCAAGCTTAACAAGACTAATTTGAAGAGAAGGACTGTCACCAAGAGTCATACCACAACTCAATCCTTCTCTTTAAGGCCCTTAGAAGTCTGGCCTTCGAACCCAGCCATAGGAAAATAGAGCAAGGTATCAACCAAATCAAAAAACAATCAACTGGAGACAGCAACTCACCAATATGGGTGAAAACAGAGCAAACCCACACCAAAACAAGCCAGATAGAGCAAGCAAAGGACTAATGAACACCAGAAACCTCAAGAAATCATCAAAAGAGGACTCCTAACCTACCACATTGGTCCAATAGGCTCCCAAGGAGAAGAGAGGAACAGAAAAATTAGCCCAAAAAAGGCTGGAGCAAGGAGTTTCAAAAAATGAGTCGTTTTCCCAGAAAATCAACCAAAAATAGAAAAACCACCAAACAATGGACAAAAAATTAAAATAAAATCATGAGGAAGCCCATCAAATTTCGAGCATGGGGATTTTTTTTTGGAAATTGTACATGAAATAAATGAAAAAACAAGAGGTAAGTAAAGAAAGAGCAAGAAAAAATTCTTCCAAGAAGAAGAAGAGACTCTGATACCATGTTAGCTTCACAGATGAAGAAGAAGAGGAAAAAGAATAAACCGAGAGCGAAAGAGAGAAGTAGCTGCTATAATATTATTTCAATGATAATAGGGTTACAACTTAAGCATACGTGTTTAAGCTAATACACATAAACATAAGCTAAAGTATTAAACTTCCCTTAGATAACATTAACACTCGACACATAGCATTACTTGTAAGCCTACTAAGGATATTTTTCTAAAAACTTTCCAATTTCAATGCATTCGAGGGATGGGTAAGAGCAAGAAGTAAAAACAATTTACAAGTCAAACATTAAAGAAAAAAAGAAAGTATATTACAGATTAGAATCATTCAAATTATAGATAATTTTTTTGGATACATAGTGTTTATGTAAATGTACAACGATTGTAGTTTTACATTTTTCTCAAAATTTTGTATTCCATATCTGAAATCAAAAAGTGCATAAAAACTCAAAAAAAAAATTTATTTGTTTTTTGACTTTTTTTTTTGAGAAAAAAAGTTGTTTTTTCAAAAAGTGCATAAAATTTTTTTTCGTCCTCTAAAAAATATAGAAGAATACAAAATAAATAATAAACAATAGAAGTAGTTCCCAAACTAGTCTGTTTTGAGCGCAAAATTCAGCCCCTAAACGAACAAAAGAAATGGAAAATTTTTATTGTTCAAATGTCTAACAACTTGCGTACGATTTCACTGTTCTACTAGGAAATTGGTTTGTACATAAAAAATCGCAAAATTTGAGATTGTCATGACATAAACAAACCTCTTCAGGTAATAAGTAAAATAGAAAAGACTCTGTATTTATGAGCACTCCTGTCCTGTCATCTCTTCAAGACAACATTTTCTACATTCCAAGAAGAAGAAAAGAAAAGAATGACCCCCCATACATGCCGTATATCACTACACATGTAAAGTTTGTCGGTTGCAAGGCCAAACTGAAGTCAACCTTTGCCTGGATCTGCTCCATCGTGCACATCCAGATTGCTCCTTTCTTCAACATTTTTGTTACAACCAGGCAGATTTGGAGTTTCTCACCAATTGGATTTATGACTGGGTCATGAGTGGGCTTGCCTTCCAGCAAAGCAGATGCCACATTCTGTGCACTCTCACTTTCAGGCAATGAAGCAGATGTCGTATTTTGGGAGCTCTCATTTTTGGGCACAGCAGCTGATGCCACGGTGGTTGATGTAGCAGCCTCTGCTACACTGGATTTACTCGCTCCATCTTTCCCACCACCTATCACATCAGCATTATGAATAAACATCAGTGAATAGGAATGATGAATTAACACATTCAAGAGAACCAAAGAAGGAATAAAAAGAAATGAGGATGGCTACTTTCCGGACTTCAAGATTGTGCCACGTCAGTACCTTTTGTAAATTGAAAGTATAAATTATCTAGCCATTGACCCATTAAATGTTGGGTCAGGTTTTTAAATTGGATCTAATATTGGGTTTATAAACAGGTGGATAAAATCTGAACCATTAATTTAAAAAAAAAAAATGCTGACATGGCGAGCATCCGAGCAACAAACAAGACGTCCAGTTCGGAAGGACCCTGGCCCGATAGAAATTAGTCATTTCCATGAGCAATGATCCGGTGAATTTTTCATAAATACAAGACGAAGTGCTGAAACAAAAGACGAGACATAAACAGAGTTTTAAACACACAAGCACGTGCACGCGCACACATATAGTCCGTGTGTAAGGGAGAAGAAAGAAAATTACAATCTGGCACCGATTCAATTTTTTTAAATACTACAGCAGTTGGCATTGGCCCCGGACACACGTATATGTTCCCAAAATATTGGGCAGTGTGAGCATATAGAAAATAAGCAACCTCAGAAATATGAAAAAAATGAAGACTGAAAAAAATAAGGAGAAGTCGACCTGTATTACAAGCGCCAGCAGCGGGTGTATTTGTATTTGATGGCACTGATGAACTTCCAGATCCTTTTTTCATCTGACTGCAGATATAGAACCAAAATCCAAGATATATTAGTTCCATTTGCTCATAGATTCCTTTTACATGCAATTGTAAATTATGTTGACATATTATAATCACCGAAAGGCACTGAGCATATTATATTAGCCGAAAGTCTCTAAGATTTGTAATCATTTTTTACGCACTCAGGGATCATCTTGTAATTGTCTTCTTTGTAAACCCTAAATCTTCATTTATAAATAAGGGGTGATATCTCATCATACCCTAAGCTGGTTACCCAAGCTTCACCCACATATTAATTGTGAAGGATGAGCGACATGACTTAAAGCAAAAGGAAAGTTCATCCTTTGCCCTCTCCAAATCCCCACTCTCACCCCTTCTGTACAGCCCTTGGGCAAGCATATAGTCTTCAAAGGAAGACTTCCACAATTCATTTGTCTGCAGATCAACACAGAGCTGTTGGCTGCTCTCTGACCCCAAATCTGACGGATTAGGAACTTGGATCTCACTTGAGAGTCCAGAATGTAAAGGTGTGATCAATGCCAAGCTAATTACAAGTGACCGATACCAAGCAACAGAGACATGCTTATAAACTTTAGCACAATTGCTATTTGACAACTTTGGATTCTTAAAACGCTTTCGTATCTTTTCACTTATTCCTTCAAGTACTTCCACTCTGACATTTCTCTCTAATAAGTGGATATATTGGTAGAGATATCTACAAGAAGGAGAAAAATTATTAGAACGTATGTAAAACCAGGAGAGGAGCCTATTTCTTTCATGTGAACTGATATTGGATAATAAATTGCTAAAGATGTATACAACCCTTGGAATGCACTATGCTGAATCAACACATTGGCCAATTCAGAACACTAGAATAGTGAAATTCCACTCCCACCCTGATGGTCCCCACCCCCTCTCCTCCCGGACACCCCCCACCCCATTCTCTCTCTCTCTCTCCCTCTCTCTCTCTCTCTCATATATATATATATATACAGATATGTATGTTTGTAACTAGGATGTTAGAGAAACGAAGCAGCATCGGGGGGGTGGCAGAGGAGGTGAGTGGTAAGATGGGGAGGTGGGATGCAGAAAGAATTTTGTTTTTTGTAATTTTGTCCTAAATGATAATTGTGCCTTGGCAAAAAATTGTCATAAATAATAATAATTTCTGGTGGGTGTACATGGAAATATTGTGTGTACATTTAGAAGCTCCGTAAGTTTGCATATAGTTCAGGCTTCTTAGGAAACTAATTTTCTCAGCTTCACTTACCCATATAAGCTGCTCTCCGTTAATTCTGGGCTAATGATCTGGGGCAAATAGCATAAATCTGACCATAAGTTCATCTGCTCAATGAACAAGGAGAAAATTTTCTCCAGAAGATGCTCAGAGCGGCTTGCAGCACCAGAGCCAACATTCTCAGTTTGATGTGCCAATGAAATTAGGGACTTAACATACCTCCCAAGAGCTACTAGAACAAGAACTTCAAGGCACAAGGGGAACTGGATTTGATACTGATAGTAAGGCCTAGTTTGGGAAGACTAAATAAGTGCACTTTTTGACTTTTTATGAAATATGGGTTGGGTTTGGGTTGGGTTTGAAATGATGTGTTAGAGAGGTGATGTGACTTAAATAAGATAATGTGACTTAAATAGGATAGTGACTTTTTGACTTTTTGTCTTTTTTCAATTATGCCAAACTTGACCTAAGTCTTACTGCAACATATAATCAAGGAAATCTTTAAAATGAAAATATGGTTGTACCTCTTATCTGCTCGAATAGAGATGTAAGCCTGGTCAAGTGCACAGATGTCTCCTGCCTCCTCCAACAGTTTCCAATAAAACAGAATGTACTTCCGAATGCAAGTGATAAATTTGCGAGAGCTTTCTGGTAAGTGAACTTCAAGGACCTTTCTGTTCCCAGAAAGACCTGAGGTGTGTTTGGTTTGTGTTTGTCGAGTAGTTTTTGAGATAACAAGTATGAAAACTTGTTTGGTTTGCCTTTTTTCAGAAATGGTTTTGAAAAATTGTTTTGGGGAAAGAGTTTTAAAAAAAGTGATTGATTTGATGTGTATAAGAGAGAGAGTGATTTTGGAAAGTAGGTAACCAAACAAAATTTTGAGATTTTTTTTGGAAAAATTTGTTTGGTTTGATTACTCTTAGAGAAATTTTCCCAAAAAAATTTCTGAAAAACAAACCAAACAAGGCCCTGGTGTTTTGCACCTGAAATTAAGAGAAGGAAAAATATGCCGATTGTCTATTGAATTATTTCGTTCAGAAGCTAATAAAAATAACTAACAAAGGACCTACAGGAAAATGTTACTGGGGACTTCCTCTTATTTCCTTTTTTTTTTCTTTTTTTTCTTTTTTGTGTTTTTCCCCCTTATTTAATTTTGGATAGACAATGTGCATGTCTCTGTAGTAGCCTAATGTTAAAACTAAGGCCAAAACCCAGTCTTTACTGGGGACTTTCCAGTAATACATTCAAAACACGATTCATCACTCTTGCAAAGCATGTAGAATCATTTTAGCATTTCAAGGATGATATCATTTCAATGCGGAGATGACACTATTCAGTATTTCCTATGATAATGACTTGTCCCTTTTTCTTTTAATTACTCAAACATGGTAATAAAGACACATTTTCGTTGTAATTACTTCATGGAGCCAAATAAGAAAAATATTTGTGTTGCAGAAATAGTTCGAGGCTTGTACCTTCCTTTCTTGACCATACTATCAATCTCCCACATATTAATTGTGAAGGATGAGCGACATGACTTAAAGCAAAAGGAAAGTTCATCCTTTGCCCTCTCCAAATCCCCACTCTCACCCCCTTCTGTACAGCCCTTGGGCAAGCATATATCTGGCCTTATGAAAATGTTTGAGGTCTCCTTCTACACAAATTTCGAGGGCAGAAAGGCAATCTCTGTAAAGCATATGCCACGCCTCTTCCAATTGATGTGAATCTACTAGCTTTGTATCCTCGGGATTGGTTTGAATACTTTTATCCTCAACATCCATTAACAAATCTGGAATTTCAGTACCCATTCTGCTCAATATCTTCATGACATTCTCCTTTGTTGATTCACTAAAAGAATATTCTGCAACAACCTGTGGTAGACCCAAGAATAATCAAGACAAAAAAACAAATTATAGCACAGACATCAACTACAACATTACTTGTGCAAGTTGAAGATATTGTCAATAATAAAGGTAAAACTAATTCATAATAATAAAATAAAACACTGCAACCATGCGTAGGTGTGTATGTTTCTACATGTTTGTTTGTGTCCAAGTGATCATTTCTCTTCGTGTAGGACTAAGCGGAGATGCATATGTATTTAGATGCAATTATTTTGAAATGGAATATTAGATATCTTTCATCTGCCACTTCAAATAAAACACACACATGAATAAATCAATGGAAAAAATGAAATCTACAAAAAAGAAACAAGGAGTGGAAGGCAATTTGACAATGGAAAAAAAAAGATAAGTTCAACATAGGAACAACCTTTAGAACCTCTTTATTTTGTTTGCCACGTGTACAAAGTAACTTTAAGCGTGAAGCATGCATCCTGTAGACAGCATCTACCGCTGAAGGATTCAAATCAATAGCCTTATCATAATATGAAAATGACATCTCATGAGAGTTATCCAAGCTTTTCAGAGAGTTTCCCCAAATAAAATGCCTGAGACCAATCTTCCCTGCAAGTAGAAGTCTCAAATTTGTTGGTGCAGTTCATATTTGAAAAGAATAGCAAACTAATAGCAAGTGGGAAAAAGAAGATACTTATGCGCGAAGGCCTTCTTAAAATGTCTCATTGCGTTATGACAAAACATCATCCATGCTGAATCCTTCAAGGGTAAAACAGATCTTTGATCATAGAAGGGAACCACATTCTGTGGGCCATCATAGTACATTAATGCCAATAATCCATGTATCTCACCCTGGAACCAAACAAAATTTATTGACTGCCTGACAATTTACCATATAATAAATAGAAATATTAAGAGCGAAGAAGAAAAACCACTTTTAATCTTAGCCTCCAAGATTATCTCATTTTTTTCTTAAGCAACTTTACTGGTTGTATGGTAGATACGTGCAGGTGCAGGATCCAACACAAGGCACGCCTCACTTTACAGATTTTAGTGTCAAAATTATCAGAATGGACCTGACCAGTTGATTAGATGACCATTCAAATGATTAACCATCCAAATGTTCATATCATCAGACTAACCAAACTGGCAATAACCCTAACACTAGACCATAACACGCCTTTGGTGTCGAATCTGTATGCTGTTGAATCTATCTAATTCAATTTGCAAGCCATGTCTAGATAGCAAGGGTGAAAATGCTATATGGATTTGAACATCAATATTTGAGGACCATATAATCGAACATAAGGACTGAGTGGGACCTGTTGAGCTGATGTCTTTGCTAAAGCCAAAGTCATTAATAGACACCGCCGACTTCTCCTATGACTTGTCTCAACTCTGTGAGGTAAAATAGAATTCTTCCTCCAACCTATAACGTTTATCTGCTTACTACCATCATTTAGCAGTAAATCCACCTCCTGCGTACATAAAACCATGGGAAGTCTTCATCAATCAAATTAATGCTGGGAATCGTCAAAGCACAGCAACACATCTTTTTTCTCATTTTCAATTTTGTATAACATTCAAGATGAGAAAGATAATTAACATCAAATTTACCTTGTCAGAAATATTGGCAAGCCGTTGCCAACTCTCAAAACGTAAAGGATTGTACTGTAAATCATATTTGAAAAGGTTAGCGTCTTGCTCTACAAATTCTTCCCCTTCCTTGGTGAGTACAAACCCAGCCTGAGCAAGGAGGAAGTACAAGTTGCAATAGACCTCCAAATATGGGTCAGAGCTGCAATCAGTTAATTACACATCAAAAACACAGTTCGTTCCAAGTAATAACAATCCATGGGCCAAAGCATCATTTGGGGGAAAAATTAAATTAAATGACAAAAATACTGATCTATGGATGTATACCTCCCTAATGATGATGCCTTGAGTTGTTTGAGGCTTCTACCATCGGGAAATATAATCTTCATGATAGAATCAAGAAACCCATCAGATCCGGCCACTTCTGAGAGTTTATCTTCACACAGATTAGGATCATCTAAGAACTTGTCAATTGCATTTCCAGCCAAAACATTGTCTGGTGGCTGTGGAATGTGTTTGCGTATGGCTCTTAATACTCTCCGAAGCTTTACCAATCCAGTTCTCTGCGACGTACAAATGTTAGCAGTCAAATGGAAGTCAGAAAGAGCAAAAATCACCACATAATCTTCAAAAAAGAAAATAATAATTTGAGACTAAGGAAAAATGGAAAAAAAAAAAAACCAATGAAAGAAATGAGAAAGGAACAGAAAATTCACTAACAGATGAAGCCTTCGCATAGGGCAGTATATACTGGAAAACATCAGCACACTGTTCCTTTGTCTGATAATCGCCACGGCTAGTATTTTTGTGCTGCACTAAATCATCTTCATAGGATGAATCTGATCTAAGCTTCAAACCATACAAACAGAAACAGCATCGATCCAAAGCATTATCAATTCCAACTCAAGTTCCTCCCTTTCATCTTCAGTTAGTTCACTGCCAAGATCATTAAATTGCTTGCTTGCTTTTTCTCCATGGGACATACCGTTGGGCCCATCACCACTGCATTTGCTACATTCCAATCCTGTATTCTCTTTCTCCATACTCTCATGAGACAAAATGCCTTTGGAAGGCACTCCCTCAAGAACATCCTTCTCCACAATATTGCCTTTATCTATAGCAACATTCACTGTATCTGAGGCAACATTTACCGTGTCTGACTTTGATTTGTCTAGAGATGTTTCGACAGGATTATTGTGGGAAAGCTGCTTGTCACATTGCATTGTTTCCAATCCCTTGTTTAAAGAATGAAAGTTTGACTTAAGCTTCATATCCAAGGACAATAGATGCTTTATTGCAAGTTTTAGAAATGTTCCTTCCTCTGTTACCTGCACAGCACAGCCCATACTCTGCCAGCAAGTCTTGCATTGCCACGATCAATTCAATCTGAGATAATAAATGAAAGACAGAAATCACTGCATAGGCCAACACAATGTGAAGTTTCAATTCCTCAGAAGAGGGCGATACAACTCACTTGAGTTTTGATAGGGACATTCGGGTTCAGATGTTGAAGTTTGCAGATTAAAATGGCTGAATCAATAAAGCAGTATCTTCGGCTTTGTTCAATTTGATCTGAAATTGCAGGTCCAGCAGATTTCTTAGAAAAGTATGTACTCACAATATTGCACATGAGTGTCAGCAGCAAAGACTGAATATCACCAATAATTCTCAGAAGAGCAATAAAGCCATTCTGCAGAAAGACAACAAGCATATGCTGTAATGAAAAATGGGTGCAAGAAGATAAACAGAAGATTAACTGAATCATGAATCCTTGAAAAACTGGAATCTGCTTTAACATCACAAAAATGTCAACTATAATCCAATCAATATTACAGCTGTGATGGTAAAACACCTTTGCTGAACCCTGCATTAAAAACGGGGGAAAATAAAATAAAATGCTGAACCACCATGTAAGCAAGAATCCACAGTTATTCCCACAATCACTGAGGCCATTTGTCTTCCTTGAGGAGTTTATCTTTCTGGGGATTTGCATTCCCTGAGGGAATCGAGCCATTTGATCCCGGCCTTGTTCTAACGCTCTTTGATGGAAAGATTCGACAAGGCTCGCCAAAGGATTCCCTGGCCTCCAAACTTCAGAGTTGGTCTCATAAAGCCTTTCTTGGACTGTTGATGCCTTCCATTGCTCAAGGAGTTTATGTCCGAGGGTTATGCAATGGTGGTGCTTTTGAGCTTTTGCCCCTTGATCGGGGTTGACCTTAGGCTCTTCTATCCTTAGAGCTATTTGCCTTGCTCATTTGTCACTCCATTTTGAGCTGGTACTCAGAGGGAAATGGATTGCTTCGAGGATTTCTTATTTCCAGCAGTTTCCTTTCACTCGTTTTTTGGACTTCTGGTGGTAAAATTCAAATTTCAAATGTAGGGTTTTCACTGCTTACAAACTGAAAAGAATTCGAATTTTTTTTTATTTTATAATTTACTAATATAATATGTTGTAAAATTTAATGTATAAAGAGAAATAGAGAGAGAATAAATTGTATGTATTATTGATTGATTTATATTGATATCTATTACAATGATTCGTGATTCCTATATATAGAAGAGGGTGAGTGTGTAGTAGGTAAGGAGTAGGTGAAGTGGAGGTGGTAGTGGTGTAGTGGGTTAGGTTCATAGACCTATAGGGGCCTAGAAGTATTTGAATATTTGGAGGTTTCATCATGATTTGATCACATTTTGCAGGACCTGAGGTTCTCAAAACTTCTGAGTTAGACAGTAATACTGATCGTTTACACTTTATCTTGCATGAAGCACATGATCTTAATTGAAAAGTTTAAATCTATCAGTGACCCGCATCAGTTCTAAGAAACACATTACGCTTAAAATTATTAAAATTACAGGAACAAATAGTAATTGTAGCCATATCTCATAATGATGGTTCTTTCAATAATATATTTTTAAAAAAATCATAAAATATAAACGTCAAATTCTACCAATATAAACTGAACTTACAGAATTTCCAGATAGATCTATGAAGGTCTTCATTTGTGATGCACATTGAGAGATTGCCTTCACTTCTTCTGCAACCAATTGATTCCAATGCATGCTTGGGCTTTCATTTAATTCTGTTCCTGAAGCAGAAAGTGGTTTTAGGACAGACATCTTGTGAATAGATTTATGTGAAGCAAGACATTCATCCATGCCAGCTGCAACCAAGAGTATTTGCAGCTTCCTTCTGCAACAATTCAAAAACACCTCAAAGTCTGTTTGGTTTTGCCTTTTCGCATGCTTTAATGAGAACATCCAATGCTGATAATTCAACTGAAGCAATCTCATCGCCTTTGTTATCAGCAACCCATGATATGTCCTGGTGAGTGTCCATTGTAGAAAAGGGAAGGGGAGCATGCAAGTGTGCACACTCAAGATACATTTCTTTCTCAATTATCTGACCTATGGCTGCCCCCTTCAACAAGAAATCAACCTCTAATAAATTAATTTCATGAAGGATCCTGTCTACAGTTAACTCTTTAATAACTTTGCATTGTGGCAGGCAAACAGACCGAAGGTGATTGTTCAGATTTTCTTCATTGGATAAATGTGACAAAGAAATACAGAATTCTTGCTGAGCTTTAGCCCTGTCACCATCGAAAATTGATAATCTCCCACTTAACCAAAAAAAGCGAACCCAAGTGAGAATTATTGGACAACTGAGAACTGTTCCCAACTGATGTTTCAGAATTGCATTTAATAAATTAATTTCATGAAGGATCCTGTCTACAGTTAACTCTTTAATAACTTTGCATTGTGGCAGGCAAACAGACTGAAGGTGATTGTTCAGATTTTCTTCATTGGATAAATGTGACAAAGAAATACAGAATTCTTGCTGAGCTTTAGCCCTGTCGCCATCGAAAATTGATAATCTCCCACTTAACCAAAAAAAGCGAACCCAAGTGAGAATTATTGGACAACTGAGAACTGTTCCCAACTGATGTTTCAGAATTGCATTGAGAACTACTTGTTGAAGAGCTATTCTCATCCTCAGATGCACCAATTATGTGGAAAGGATAATCTGTAGCTATAGATTCAATGATTTTACAAAGATGATAAGATGCATCAGACATGAAGTCAGACAGCCTGGAGGTGTCAGAAGAGCGTGACCCAAAGTCATAGTACAGCTCAGCAAGAAAAATACTGCATTCCCGTGTCCTATCCCTTCCCCATTGCCTTGTCAATTTCTCCAACTCCAAAAACAAAGCAACGGTGTCCCGGTATGAAATGGCTCTACTTGCAACCTCTTCTAAAAGCAAGTGATCCATGTGGTAAGCACCATAATTTTTTGAAGTTTCCTTGACAAATGTTGTAACATCATCAAATTCAGTATAGACTGGATTAGCCACAACATCAGGACAAGGTAATGAACAACTAACAGCACTATTACTATCTTGAGCTCCTTCTCCAACCACAATAAAAGGTTCCAGAAATTGAACCACAACTTTAGCCAGATCTTTCCTGTTAGCAAAATCCAATTCTTCTTTACCTGGTTTACGACTCCTGAGCCTTTCAAGACGACTACTACGCCTCTCTTGAGGTTGTTCTTCATAAACATTTGTTTCTTTCTCTCTCCAAACACTAGCTTTCTCAGAGTTCCAATCACTGATAGACACACTTTCACCGTCTGAGGTGACATTAGGTCCTTTCCTTTCCACAGACCCCATAATATTTTCTGAACCATGAGGCAATTGTATACTTAATCTAATGTCACCGGATTTGTATAATTTGTCAGACCCCTGTTCAGAACTGCATCCACTCAAGGGATGTAAGATTCCCAACAGTGCATCAGCAAGGCCTGTCCAGGAAGCTTCTGCAAGCTGCAATTCTACATTCTGGTTCAACTTTTTAGGTGCAACACCCTCATCTAGATTATCGTCTGTTCTTTTTCTCTTGTCCAAGAACTTAAGACGAACATGTTTTGGTTTCAGTTTGTCTATACCTCTTGGAGTTACTGTATACTAATTGAAACATGCCCTAATCTAACCATCATAAGCTAGTAAATAAAAAGGAGAAAGACGTGGGGTTGGAAGACATACATCACACACACGCACACTTATTACAATATTGCCCTCGCGCAGAGGGCCCGAAAGAATAATACAGTCCCAAATGAATAAATAATACAGTCCCGAATAAATAATTATAAAACCCTAATTAATTAACAAATTAATCTAGGAAAGCAGTAAATTGGCATGCAAATCCATGGACCGCCTTAGCTTTGTTCCAAATGATGGATGATGCATGCTTGAGTTGCCTTGCGCGGAAATCCATTGCGATGCCCCGGTTTGCCTCTGTTTGCAATTGTTCTTGGAATGCATGCCAAACTCCGGAAGGCTGCTGATTCTTGATTTGCTGCAACAGAGAGCAACAAAGGGGCATGGCAAAGTATTTTCACGTATGTATGTATGACTACTCTTTGGGGAGTGTAGTCCTCGATCCTCGTGCCACCAATCACGCATCTCGATGCATGATGGCCGAGGAGTAGAATTGCACGACTCAATATGAAATGAATACACATGAAAACACAACAGGACCTAAACTCCATCATGGGTAATCCGGAATATCGGCGACAGGGAATTGAGACACGTTCCATCACTCGGAGTACGAAACGTCCCTCGTTTCCCGTGCTTGGGCTAACTCCTATCCCAAACACAATGCGATATACATGACATGCATGAATGCAATCCTAACATGCGACCTAGCATACACAATGCTATGAAATGGCATACACAATGCACGATGTAACGAGGCATACACAATGCTCTAACATACAACCTAGCATACACAATGCTGCGAAATGAAATGGCATACACAATGCATAATGGACTTACACTAACATGAGTAGACCTCAGCCACACTCACATCAGTAGCCATTAGATGAAAATGAGGCAATCGAAATGCGTGCACACGTGCACGCAAACCGAGGACCAAACCTAAGGCATCAAATGCCACTCTACCAAAGCATGGCAAGGCATGGAACATGGTATGCAAACATGCAAATTTCAGCACTGAAATATGATACAAAATGGTCCCGAAACATGGAAACATGGCACCCGATGCATGAGATGAACCCCGAAACTCAAAATTAGGCGCATGGAATGACTTATAGCCTCTGTTATCAGAATCTTACGATTCGCGATTCGATTCACGATTCAATTCACAATTTTTGTAAAATCGATACGAATCTATGGGCGAATCTATTTTGGAAGTGAATCTCTAGTGAATCGTACGATTCACAATCGATTCACGATTCGATTCACTTTTTACGATTCATGCAATTTTTGAAATTATTGTATCCGACATATTTTCGACTCTTTTTTTCTCCATCTTTTTAGTGAAAATGACATAATACAGCTTCTAATGGCGTTTAATACCAAAATAACCAACATATATATACATGATTTGTTGTTATTTTAGTGATCATGGAGTTTTTAATAGGATCCAATTAGATTCAATTAGACCCAACATATTTTTAACCTTTCTTTTGATTTTTTTTTCCTTTTAAAAAATCATAATATATCTTCTAAAGATGTTTAAGATTAAAGTTACACTATGAATTATCTATTACTATTTTATTAAATTGAATATTACATCTATGAGGTCAGTTATACTTTTTAAAATATTTTAGGCTTTAAAAAAAAGATTCTAAATGATTCTTTTTTATTATTTGCTCACTGTTATTTAGAAAAGTATGTATGCTTGTTGTCCAAATATTAATATCGTTGTTAATTATTGTTACTTTAGAAATTGATAGTTTATCTATTTGGTTATTATTTTTATTAAGAATGGTTGATAAGAAATATCTAAAAAAGAAAAAAAAAGTATGGTGATCTTACATAGGAACCTTTGTTACCTTCTTACCTATTAAAATCTTTGTTAACTTCTTACCTATTAAATTACGTGATTATCATTTAAAAAAATATTTTTTGTTGATTTAAGTCTAAATATTTTATATTCATAAGATATATTTAACATTTAAATGTGTAGATATATGTTTTTAAGTAATTTAGAAAAAGTGACCGAATCTTTACGATTCACGATTCGATTCGATTCGCGATTCGGTACGAGGTCATTTCGATTCACGATACGAATCCCGATTTAACAACTATGCTTATAGCTATACAAAGCATGCATTATTTGATGATGAAGCATGAAGACAGAGGCAAGACAGTCCCAAAACATGCATATTTCCAGTTTAAAGCATGGCCAAAAGATGATAGCAAGATGGCCTAACATAGCATGCAAGTTCAACTAGCAAACATGGTTTACATGGCAAGTATATGAAGCATATGGAATCTGACCAAACCATCAAAAATCAGTGAATAAATTATGTGAAAATAGGCCCAAATAACCACTGATGTGCAACCATGGCATGCAAAAATGATGAGCTGCTTTAGGGGGCCATGCAAGGAGTTATTAGGCACATACAAAATAGACATGAAGCATGGCACAAACAACTCTGAAAATCAAATATGATAGTCCCAAAACTCACCAAATTGACCCTAGAAAGTGACTTCAAAGCTTGCAAGATAGAGTCTCTTCGGAAGGCCAACAAGGCCACCAAACAAGTCAAGGTGAGAGGGAGTCATCCCCCTCTGATTTGGAAGCTCAAAACAGTGTCTTAGCCACTGAAAATCCACTGGATTTCAGTGGCTAGAAGGCCAAACAAAGCATGCAACAAGGGCTTAGGTGTAAGACTCAAAATAGGAGACAATCAAGCATACAAAGAAGCATATGACCTCAAACAAAAATTGAACCTTAAGCAAACTTGAAGATGAGATTAAAACAAGATATTTTTCAGTTTATGACAACTCTCAAAAACAAACACAAGTAAGGCTAATCTATCATACAAAAATGACCCTAAAAGAGAGAATAGAGACAAGGGACAGCAGCTGGCCTCAAACAGTGAAGAGCCCTTCAACAAAGTTGAAGAGGGGCTCAAAACAAGGCACTTTACAGTTTATGTCAAGCTTCGAAAATAATCACAAGCAGGCCTAAAATATCATGCAAGAAAAAGGCTTAAAAGAGGGATAAAGAGACAAGTGATAGCTGCTGGCCTCAAACAGAGGAGAGCCTTCAACAAAGTTGAAGAGGGGCTCAAAACAAGACATTTTACAGTTTGGCTCGAGGCCCAGAAATGCTTACAAACAGGGCTAACATATCATGCAAGAAATAGCCATAAAAGAGGGATAAAGGGAAAGGGGCAGCAGGTGGCTTCAAACAAAGAAAAACCCTTGATCAAACATGAAGATGAGCTTAAAAAAAAACTATTTCTAGTTAGGGTCGGAGCCCAAAAATGCTTGCAAGCAAGGCTTAGATATAGAGCAAGAAAAAACTAGAAAAGGGAGAAAGAGGACTCACCCTTGAAGACCAATGAACCAGCAGCTTTTGGTTGAAGAAATGGTGCTCCTAACCTCTGGAAATAACCTCCAAGTTGCTGGAATGGAGTATGGAGGTGTGGTCCTATGAGGTGGTGTAGAAATGGTCCAAGAACAAAGGTATTTGATGGTTGAATGAGAGAGATGGAGGATGTATGTATGCAAGGCTCCAATTGGTTTTTGTCAACCCCTAGAAATGGTGGAGAGGTGCTGGTCTTATAGAGGGAGAGAGGCAAGGAAAGGGGGGGGAAAAAATCAAATTCAAATTTCCCTCCCAAAGGCAGCCCCCCCGGATACAAAATCTGGGGGGAAACAAAATATACAGCTGGAACACACTTGGAGAGGGGGTTCAGGCCAACCAAGTTCAGAAGGTTCAGGTGGCCGGCCGGCCAAGGGTCAAGAATGATTGCTGGCCGGCCACCCCAAATTGGTGGCCTCCCATGTGTGCACAACACAAATATGTGGTTGACACCCGGAGAATGTGAACCAGGAGAGAGAAAAACCCATTTTTTAGAGGGGTTCAAAAGGTTCAGGTGCAATTGCTGGTCGGCCACCAAATATTGGTGGCCTCCCAAGTGTGTACAACACAAATATGGGGTTTATGGCTCAAGAAAGTGGTTTCGGGGTGGTCAACATTAGCTCTCAAGTGAGGAAAACGGGCGTTGGAGAGCGATGAAGAAATAAAGCTGGCTTTTCAGAACAATTGCTGGCCTCCCACCCTCCTACAAGCTTCCTAACTATGAAAATAAGGTCTCCACCAAAAATGAACCCAAACGGATGCAAAACGGAGGTTCGGGGACCGAAACGCGCGGCCCGGGGCCCCGAAAATGGGCTGTTAGGCACCGGAGGTGGCATTCGACCACGAAGTTGGTCTCTCGGGCCACAGTGTTCCTCAAAAGGGAGGAAATAAGGTGTATACCAAAAACCGGAGCAAACGGAGGTGGTTAGGTGGTCCCGAACAGAGGCACACGGCCGTCGGCTCCAAAAAAAAAGAAAACCGGGCTCCAAACGGGAAAGATGGCCTACGACCATGAAACGTAGCCTACGGCCACTGAGGGATGATCTACGAGACCTCTCCCTCCCTTCGGGAAGAGAAAACAGAGAAAACAGAGCCTGGTTCGCAAACCGAGGCAAGGCATGAAAGAGTCCGAAAGTTCGGAGGCAAGGCTTGCAGCCGGCACTCTGAAACTTCTGAATGAGTACGATATGCAATATCACCAAGCGCTCAACTGGTGACGTCTGAGTCTTAAGGTCGGTCAAAAATGGGGTGTCTACATGTAGCTATAGATTCAATGATTTTACAAAGATGATAAGATGCATCAGACATGAAGGTGTCAAAAGAGCGTGACCCAAAGTCATAGTACAGCTCAGCAAGAAAAATACTGCATTCCCGTGTCCTATCCCTTCCCCATTGAGAGCGTGACCCAAAGTCATAGTACAGCTCAGCAAGAAAAATACTGCATTCCCGTGTCCTATCCCTTCCCCATTGCCTTGTCAATTTCTCCAACTCCAAAAACAAAGCAACGGTGTCCCGGTATGAAATGGCTCTACTTGCAACCTCTTCTAAAAGCAAGTGATCCATGTGGTAAGCACCATAATTTTTTGAAGTTTCCTTGACAAATGTTGTAACATCATCAAATTCAGTATAGACTGGATTAGCCACAACATCAGGACAAGGTAATGAACAACTAACAGCACTATTACTATCTTGAGCTCCTTCTCCAACCACAATGAAAGGTTCCAGAAATTGAACCACAACTTTAGCCAGATCTTTCCTGTTAGCAAAATCCAATTCTTCTTTCCTGGTTTACGACTCCTGAGCCTTCCAAGACGACTACTACACCTCTCTTGAGGTTGTTCTTCATAAGCATTTGTTTCTTTCTCTCTCAAAACACTAGATTTCTCAGAGTTCCAATCACTGATACACACTTTCACCATCTGAGGTGACATTAGGTCCTTTTCTTTCCACAGACCCCATAATATTTTATGAACCATGAGGCAATTGTATACTTAATCTAATGTCACCAGATTTGTATAATTTGTCAGACCCCTGTTCAGAACTGCATCCACTCAAGGGATGTAAGATTCCCAACAGTGCATCAGCAAGGGCTGTCTAGGAAGCTTCTGCAAGCTGCAATTCTACATTCTGGTTCAACTTTTTAGGTGCAACACCCTCATCTAGATTATCGTCTGTTCTTTTTCTCTTGTCCAAGAACTTAAGACGAACATGTTTTGGTTTCAGTTTGTCTATAACTCTTGGAGAAAATGGGATTGGTTCCAACACTTCAATGGTATTTTTGACATGCAAAGCTCGAGAATGTGATGGCCAATGCCTCAAAATTAACTGACTGACAGAAAGACACGCAACCTCATCACCAATAGCAATCAATACTTCCAAGAGCTTCTCCATGCAATTCCCTGGATGCATTGTCCAGAAAAAAAGAACATAATGTCCAGAACTACTAATAGGATACGGTTGGCTGTTCATGAGAAACCAAAATTCAAAAATAACTAAATAAAATGCTTACAGTTGTTTGGGCTGCAAAAGAGTCCCTGTTCAAATGCCCATCGCGAGATACTCAGTAAGCCCATTGAGCATGATAATGTTCCTAGCCGGTTCCAAACAACAGAATCTTTGGTGTCAATCTCTACAGCTTGAAGATAGCAGCGTAGAGCACTATCATAATGGGCAGGACCTTGTTGAAGAAAAACAGTGGCAAGGTTCTTCAATGCCAAAAATCTGTAAAAAAGGTAAATAATAACTGTATCATATAAACTTGCAGAATTTATATACAATAAATATCAAGATGAATGGTAAAGTCTATAGGGTTCCAAAATCACAAAAAATAAACCTAAGAATCAAACAAGTTTTCCCAATCTATGAAGATAATTTATGTGTATGTTCGTAATTGTAGTTGTTATGATACGAAAAAAATGGGATTGATGCCTCAACAAAATTGGAATAAAGTTGATCCAAAAGATCTTGATTCAAGAGTGTTTCCATGACTCTACCACCCCCAGTCAATTTTGTTCCACTTCATCCCTCTTTCATTTCTACACATCTTTCAAGCCAAGGACTAGGAGATCTTTCTCCTGTTACATTAACCCAATTTCCATTTCATCTGGGAAAAGCCATCTTTTTTCTGAACAATGTCTTTATCATTTCATCCAATAGACTTCTGTTAGATAGAAAGAGATTTCATAAATACCGATAAATATTAGATAGAGTATTAGAATGGAAAGATCCAGTAGATAATGAACTATTGGTTCTAAGACATCTTTGGTGAGATTTCCCAATATCATGCTAAAATAGCTTGGACTCCAAAAGAAAATGTTATTTTTTTGATGAGACATATAAAGGAATATTGAAAATTCAAGTGGCTAAAGTTGAAGCAACTACTTTTGAAGTAAGAGAAAGAAAAACGATGACTAGAGTGCGAGAGTCAAAGTTAAAAAGATGATTCATCACTTGTTTCTCTCATTCAAAATCGTGCATGAGACTTTCATCATCTCGTAAGTCCTAAATGATAAATGCAAAAAGATCTGAGTTAGTGATACTCTTTTCTTTGGTATACCTAATCCTGGTACTTTTTTAAAGCCAAAATTGGGACATGAGCCGCATCAAAAAACCCAATCTGACCAACCCAAATCAAATCTAATAGTAATTCACATAGATCTAGGAATGAACCTCTAGATTTGTATACAAGCATAAATTTTATTATCAAATATATTTGGTTTATTCATTGGTCAAATCATTTACTCCGAGTCCATACCGACAACAATAAAATGTATAGTAAGTGGAAAACCATCATAAATGCTTGCGAGTAAATAGCTCTACAAATGAATGGATCAAATCAACTTAGAAAATTAAAAGATTTGTACGAGTGATACGTTTTGTCACCACATTATGACAGCATCAGACATTCTAAGACAAGTGCTTCCTAGGTCCAATCCCAGATCTACTGCTAAACACAACTTCAAACTCTTCTCAACTAAAAATATCTCTGTCTCACCAAGTCACCGCAGAGATGCGTAATATATAATTTGCCTATGTGTCTGTTTGGGAGTGCAGAATTTACAACCTATATCTTTGAATTATCTAAGACAGTAATTTCCCCATATGGCCTTAGATCTACTTGAGAACTATTACAGCTTTTTATAAATCTAAGACAACAAATAGCTCCTTATTGCCATTCAAGTGACACATGTTAGTTTTCCACCGAAATTATCCTTCACATATTTAACATTAATTTATTTGGGGGGCAGGGACATATAATTTTAACTTGCCAATGTATAACTTCACAAGAAGTATCATTGCCAGGCTAGTAATATATATTGGAGGTTAGGAAGGACGAGTTTCATTGGCCCCCTTATAAAAAGAAGTGGAAAATAAACCTTGACGTTGCTCAGCAACTATAGAAATTTATTTAAGTTTTGAATGTTTTGGTTAAACAATGAGAGAGAGAGAGAGAGAGAGAGGGCTAACAAATGAACAAACCTAAAAATATAACTAAATTACATTAAAAAAATAATTGGAGGATAAATTTAAACCTAAGTTGTAAAAGGTGACCGTCACTGGCACTACTTTTCACCTAAAACAAAGAAAAGCAAAGTGAGAAACTATTGACAACACAGTAAGTTGCTTGATCAGCTAGAGATTCTTTGGAGCACATGATACCTGAGCACTAGAAATAAGAGGATCTTTTAGCAAGGATTCTAATAGTTCGCGAGCCTTCTCATATTCCTTGGCTTGTAACTTAAGAAGTCCTTCTTGGTAAATTTGTGAAAGATGAAACTCTTGCATTGACCAGATGGAGAAAGCACCATATGAGGTGTATGGAAGTAAAATACACAAAATTAAACCCGGAGTTTCCGTAACTTGAACTCATCATGCTATACTTGGTGAGGAAAGAAAAACAAGCAATTTACATTTCAGTCGCTACCGTGTCACTAGCTCTAGTATTCACCAACTAGGTTATTATTCAATGAATTCTATAACCTAGCCAATGAATACTAGCCTAAAAAGCATGGACACTCCAAAATCAGTGCCGTGCCGGTGTCCGACACGAGGACACATCCCTTTAATTTAATGACTTTTTTGAAGGGGACACGACGGGGACACGGGTGTCCATATGGGGACACAGAATGGGACACGGCAAGGACACGCGTGTCCACATTGGGACACAGCGAGACTAATTTTATTTTATGTTTTTTTCTTTTGCCACTCTTATTTAGTGCTTTTGTGAAGAATATTATTGGATGATGAATGTTTTCTCCTTCTTATCTTAGTTCTTGTTATCATTTATTAAGACTTTTTTGTGAATGGATGATCTATTAATTTGTTTAAATGTAGTGGTTATATTCTATGTAGCACGGACACGTCCCCTAAGGCAACGTTTGGGTGTCGGACACATGTCAGACACGGACACGCGGTGGACACGCGGTGGACACGTGTCCGACACTCTACCCAACGTGTCCCTTTTTTTTTTTCAATTTTTGCAGCCGGACACTTGTTTGGACACTGTTGGACACGCTATGGACACGTTATGGACAGAGAGGGAGAGAAACCCTAACCTGTTGCAGACACAGAGAAAGAGAGAGAGGGTGAAGAACCTGCTGAAATGGAGCCCTAGATCAGGCATGTTCTTCGATTCTTCAAATCTCTCCTTCGATCTTCTTCTTTTCTTCTGTTTTTCTTCATTTTTCTTCTTCTTTCTTCGTTTCGTCTGCGTCGTCTTCCTCGTCTGTGTCGTCTCCCTCTCTGCTCTCTCTCTCTCTCTCTATGGTGTTTCGGCCCTCTCCTTTGACTATCGATCGCTATTTGCTCTCTCTCTCTCTCTCGCTCTCGCTCTCGCTCTCGCTATCATGTTTCGGCATTTGACCATCGATCGCTTTATATATCATATACTAATAATATATATACATATATATATTTATATCATAATAATAATAGTATATATATTATATACTAGATATATATTTGAAATTTTTTTTTTCTTTTCCTTTTTTCTATTTTTTAGATATTATTATTTGTTTAAATAAATTATTTTTATTTATAAGAAAATTTTAATTTGTGAATAATATTTGATATTAAAATAAATAAATAATATTTATATTTTTTAATTTTACATATAATAAATAAATAAAATTATATATATTGAACGTGTCCCCAGCGTGTCATGTCCCTTATTTTTTGAAAATTTGCGTTTTCCTGTGTCCGTGTCGTGTCCCGTGTCTGTGCATCATAGCTTAGCTTGAATAGGAAAAATGGCCAGCAAAGACTTCTGTACTCGTGGGCCAACAATGAAAATCCTCGACTAGGAATGTTCTCCAGAGGTATAGATCCTGAAGGCTGTCCATAGATTTTCATTTGGAAGCAAAATCATCCCTTTTGGAAAAGTACTATATACGACTATAGTTTGGTTTATATAGATCACATATATCAAGGGTTTGGCTCCTTTTTAACTTTCATCAAAGAAAGTGATGAAATTTATCTCACTTGCAGTGTCTCAGAAACTTGCTTAAAGTAAGAGTCACTTTAACTCCTACTGGGCAAGCTCAGCTGCTGTTTTGGGCACAAAGTAGCAATTCATGGGTAGTTGTATGGCAGGCCCCAGTAGTTGAATGTGATTTTTATGGGTATTGTGGTCCATTTAGTAGCTGTGAGCAAAATGGATCACATCCATTTTGCAGTTGTTTGGAGGGTTTTGAGCCCAGAGATCAGAAAGAATGGAATCTTGGAAATTGGACAGGAGGCTGTGCCAGGAAGATGGAATTGACATGTGATAAGGGAGATTGGTTTTTTAAGTTTGAAAGAACTAGATTGCCTGATTATTCAGTGTCTCTGGGAAATGTCGTGACAACTGCTCTTGCACAGCTTATGCTTATGCTAATCTAACTATAGAAACTACTGTGCACTGTATGAATTGGTTTGGGGCTTTGGTGGATCTAAATCATAATGCCTTCATTGGTAAAGATCTTTATGATCGCCTTCATAGCTCTGACCAAGGTATGTATGATATCTTGCTTGATTTCTGTTGAAGACACTGTTTTTCTAAATTTTAGCCCAAGTCATGTAGTTTGTGATGAGCTAATTTTCTGCGTTTTGTTATTCTTGTGTAGTTAGTAATGCTAAGACTGGTAACTTGACCCCTAAAAGAAGAATTCCGATTGCAATTGCAGCAGCTACTATCTCTACAGGATTGCTATTTATTAGTATCATCGGCTGTCTTAAGGAGGGAAAGGTTGAGAAATCCAGGTACAATCTCTCCCTCTCTCTCTTGAGTGTTGTACATGTTTAGTCCTACACTCTTGGAAACCCAAATAGAAGTTACCACTACACTTCTAGTTTCCCATGCATGATTTTGTCCACTGATTACTCCAAATACAGAGAGAATAGAACCAAGCGTGAAAAACCTTGACACAAAACTCTAGTGCATCTGTTGTTGGGCCAAATGATGGAGAATTGTTATCATTCAGTTTACAAAGTATATTAGCTGCCACAGACATCTTTTCTGAAGCAAAAAAACTAGGAGAGGGTCGGTTTGGACCTGTTTATAAGGTAACTATTCCAAAACTGTGATTTTTTTTTTTTTTTTTTCTCATTTCAGAAATTACTTATCATATGAAACACTTCGTAACTCCAAATACTCCCATTAAGTGATTTAAAATTTTGATAGATATACATAAAAAAATACATAATTATATTACTAAATCATAATTCAAATTTAGATGTTATATTTTTTTGAGATCTATAGCTAAATTCTTATCTTCTTTATGTTTGTGTGTAACCATAGTGTATGAGATAAATTAAAAAGGGTGTTACAGTAATTATGAGAAAAATCAAAAGGGATTGTGAGTTGAGAGAAGTTAATAAATATTGAGGTTGGGTTGGGAGAAACAATAAATGCTGAGGTTTTTTTTTTTTTTTTGTCAAATCAAAAAATTAGAAAATTAGGATTAGGATATTGGAGCTCTCACAAGGCCTGTGAGTTAAAAACTCTATTTTGCTTAATATATAGTATAGATTATAACCTAATTTATCTAGGTATTGTTGGTGTTTGGGAAGTGAATTTTTATGTAGGTTTTTTTAATTGTAGGATATTATTGGATAAAAAATTTTTGGTGTTTGGGAAGATAGTTAGGTTTTTTTGTAGTCGGATGTAATGTTTGTTAAAGAAAAAGTGAAATGATTATGGGATTGGATGTGATATTTTGTTTGGATGTATTTTTTTTGGTTTTGCAAAAAGGTTGTCTTTTAGTGAAAAAAATCAAAAAAAAAAAATCTCAAACCCAAGTTCCCAAACACCAAACATTTTAGGGTTTGTTAAAAGGGATTTTTTTTTTAGGTTTCTAGTATTAAAATTTTATAACATAAAGAATATCTAATATTTTTCATATTGTCTAAGGTCCTTCACATATCGATTTAGAGAAATTTCATCCAAATTTCACTGAACTTCCCGCTCTTCAGAGAAATTCTATCCAAATTTTTCTAGACTTCCTACTCTCCAGAGAAATTCTGTCCAAATTTCTCTGGACTTCTCTCCAAATTTCTCTGGACTTCCCATCATCCAGAGAAATTCTCTCCAAATTTCTCTAGACTTCCCACTTTCTAAAGAAATTCTTTCCAAATTTCTCTGCACAAAGTAAGTTCAAGTCTCAGCTTGGCCTAAACTCTCTCTCTCTCTCTAATATTTTTGCCTTTGGATATATGGTTGCAGAAGAAGCTTCTGATTCTCCAGATTTCTCACAGCCATTATTGGTCATTCAAAATCTCGAAATTGAATAATTGCTCTGGTTACCTACCATGAAAGATTTCTTGGTTATCTAAACTCCTTTATTATTGGTCATTCAAAATCAAAAAATCACAGCTAGCCAAACTAGCCTTCTACTGTACTATTGTAGTTTGTTTGTTCATATCTCTCTCTCTCTAAACTTTCAGAGCAGAATCAGAAGCTTCTCTTTCTCTAAAACTTTCTCTTTATACCTTTCCATGGGGTTCTCGGTGGGTTACGCAGAAGTATTTCTTCCAAAGCTCTTCTTCCACACACTCTCTCTCTCTCTTGGATTTCATCAGAAACCTCATTTTCTTTCTTTTCCACTTTCTGAGTCTCTCCGTTTCTCGAAATAGATGTCTCTTCCTACAAAAACCCAACCCGAATACCTGACAACCTGCCCACATCCGCCTTCTTGATTCGAGAACTCCTCCCGGTGGTGGTGACGTTTGAGGACGTTGCCGCCGCTGTAGGAGAGAGGTGCGCAGTCTGATTTGAGAGAAGAGTAGAGAGGGAGGAAGAGAGAGAGAGAGACAGGTTTGATTTGAAAGAATCAAATTTCTCTGTAATAAATGGGTGTCGGGTTAAGGGACTTTAGATATCACAAAATAATATTGTGGATTTCTTCCATTACTAAAAATGGGATAGGGACCTTAGACTAATTTTCTCTTTGTTAAACGATTAAAAGAAACCTTACATTACACGCAGTAGGTTTTTTAACATAAGCCATTTAATGACACAAGTTAAAAGAATTTTATTTATTTTTTACTGAAAATTACACTTGATTTATTTATATATATCTAAAAATAAAAATAAAAATTCATAAGTTTGATGTAATTACACTCACAATTTAATGAATTTTATTTATTTTTTAGTGAAAATTACAATTGTTTTTTTTATATTTAAAAAAAATACTAATAAATTTCATAAGTTTGATGTAATTACACTAACTAGTAAAATTAAAGAAAACAAAATTAATATAAATATTGTCTAAACAAGGAGATTTGTTTCAATCCTGTTTGAAATTAATAAAATCTGCATACATAGAGTAAAATGGAGAAAAATAGGAGACTTAATGACTATAAAAGAGAAAATAGTGTTGTGGCGAAAGAAGATAACGAAAAATTAAGTACACCATCTTATTAAGTGCTCATTTGATTAGAGAGTTCCAGTTAGTAAGAAACAGATAACTAAAAATGAATGATTTCATAAGTGTAAAAATGGCTCGCGGCTCGGGGTGGGCCTAGCCCGTTTAGGTCCATTTGGACCTAGGCCCGAGCCCAGTTCTAGACCCTAGGCCTGAGCCTAGGCCATCATTTTGAAGTCCAGCCCGGCCGACTTGGCCCGTCCCGTGGCCCGTTTAAGGCCCACTCAAGGTTTAATCCGCCCGAGGCCTAGTGTTTTTTTAATGGAAAATAATGAAATTTTGGTAGAAAAAATAATAAAAACAAAAAAATGTTTAGGCCCACTAGCCCCGCCCGCCCAAGGCCCAAATACCCCCTAGGCCTAGGTCTGTGTCTGGGCCTAATTTTCTGGCTCGTGGATTGGCCTGAATTTTGCCGGGAACCTGCGCGGCCCGACATAGGCCGGCCGGGCCAAATTTACACCCCTAAATGATTTGTAGTAATGGTGCTTGTGGAGTGGTCGACTAGTCATTGGCCTTGAGGAATGGTGGAGTCATTTTTGCTGATTGTCCTCGTGAGTGGGATGGTTGTAATGTGAGGTGATGACTGTGGCACACCACGAAGGGCAATAGTGTGAGAGGTAATAGTTGGGTAAGTAGATGAGATAGTAGTGGAAGAAGGTAATTTTACAAGTGGTGGTGGAGCTAAGCCTCGGCATTAGATTGGGTTGGACTAGTGCAACTTTGAAATTCTTAACCCAAACTTAGGCCCATGAACTTTGATCGATTAACAAGTCAAACTTAATGGGCAATCCATACTATATTTATATAGCTTGAGCCATATTAATGGGCTTAAACATATGGACTTATGAGTTTTGAGTCGAGTCGAGTCGAGTCTAGTTTATATGGACTTAAATTTGGCTATAAATTCGTGTTTTTTAAATTAAATTCAAATAAATAAATAAAACTATAATATAAAATTTTGACATGTATTATAATAATTAGAAATTGAATGAATAATAAAAAATAAATTTATTAATTGAAATGCATAATTACATCATTATGTATGTAATTCAAATTTTATGTCTATATAATCCTATGAAAATATAATTACTACTTTGATAATTCGTGTCCTAACCCACTTTCTATTTTTATTTTTAATCTTATTGCTTTACAAAAATATATCAACACATACAATATATATAATAAAACAAAAAAAGTTTTTTAAAATGTCTCTCTAACACAATTGGCTAGAACAACTGAGATTAACTTATTATGTAATTGACAGTTCAATTTACTTGGATCAAAATAAATTTTCCGTTCAAAGCAACTTCTTAGCACTTTCCTCCCATCATTCACACCCCATATTTCTCCCTCTCAGAAAACGAATTATTGGGCCCATTCTAGGGACCATTTTAATGATACAAACTGTTCACTTTTTAGAGTATGTCGAGTAAAATATATCTATAAAAAAAAATCAAGTTGATTGGACATTAGTAACTCTTTCATCAAAATATATTTGTATTTAGTTTTATATTTCAAATGTGAACAGTTTAAATTACCGAAGTGAGGCTCAACAATAGGCCTATCAAGCCAAACTGGATGATCCATCAGTAACCCTTTCATCAAAATATATTTATATTTAGTTTTGTATTTCAAATGTGAACGATTCAAATTATCGAAGCGAGGCTCAACAGTAGGCTTATTGGGCTAGATTGGATGATCCAGTCCGATAGAGGATTGAAGACAGTTCAATCCATATAAACAAATAAATAACAAACTAATCGAATCAACCAAGCAAAGCATCCCAAGCAAAATATAAAACAACTCGCTAGAGACAACTTCTATATGTGAACAATTATTAGGTATAATCAAATTCATTATAATAGACTAATTAGGTAAAAGTATGTCAATATAAACAAAATTTTAGTATATATATAAATAGATTCGGTTCTTGGGTTGATTTGGTTTAGACAAGACCTAAACTAAGAACCAATCCAATCCTAATGATTTGAAAAACGATAATCAAACTAATACACTAAAAAACTAAATCAATCCAACCCAAAGAGGTCAGTTTGGTTTGATTTTTCAGTTCATTGGGTAATTTGAACACCTTAATAATAAAGGTAGTTGTGGAGATAATGGACTAGTTGTTGGTCCTAAGAAGTGGTGGAGTCACTTTTGCTAATTGTCCTTGTGAGTAGAGTGGTTGTAATGTGAGGTTGTGATGGTGACACACCAGAAGGACAACGGGGTGAGAGATAATAGTTGGGTAAGAAGACGAGACAATAGTAAAAGATGAGAGGAATAAGGTGGTTCTACAAGTGGTGGTGCGACTAAGTCTCGGCACTGGACTGGGAT